AGTGATTTAGACTAGTCAAGGTCTGATGGACATATGAGTTGTCGACATGGTTGAGAAAACTGAAAACTTAAATAAAAAGGTGCTAAAAGTCTGTAGGGGTGTCGGACTCAAAATTTTATTTTTGACCGTTTCCATTTTCTGAGAAATCTAAAAACTAATAATTGAATTCAAGAAAAAAAATAAAAATAAAAACGAAGTGTGCAAACAAATGTTGTCATCACAAGAAATTGGTCGATTGGAATAAAAAAAAGTCACAAAAAGGTTAGAGAAATTCATAATTATATATAAAAAAAAATTAAAATTGAAGATTGATTTTTTTTTTAAATCTTGAGCCTTGTCAATGTGCTTTTCAGACGTCTAAACAATTTTAGAGACGAAGTAAAGAAATAAATGAACGGAATAATAATTTATTCACTATTTTTGTGAACTTTTTTTTTTAGTATTAAAAAATGTTTTTACAAAACAAAAAAGTATACAAAAAAAAAGTAAGACGCTATGTTTTCGAATTCATAAATTTTAATTAAACAAGTTAAATTTTTTCTTCAGATAAATAAAAAAATGTCTTGACAACTTGAAGTAATTATTTATTGCTGTTCATCAGGTGTCACCAAAGAAAGAGAAACACGCACACAGCAAATATGGCTTTAAAAAAAACTTCTTGGGACAGAAGAAATTTTTAGTTATAGATTTTAAAATTCAAATAAATTTAATGAATGATAGTTGATATTTAAAAAGAAAAAGAGAGAAACTTTGCAAAACAACATATGTTACATAGTTACAAGTTACAACATAATCTTTATTTATATTCGTATCAATTTCAACTTCATTTCTTGACGTGGTCAATATTTTTTTTCGTAACGTGTGTAATCAAAATTATTAACCGAAATGAAACATCGAGGGTGGGTAATTAAATTGTGGGTCATTGAATTCAAAATAAAAATCGTATATAAATCTTGTTAAAACTAAAAGTAAACATTGGAACTAGAATATAAACATGAAGCTTTTAAGTTTATGAGAAACTAAAAAAAGGCATTGGAAATTAAAACTTGATAATGATTTTTTAAACTAAAAAGTCATTGCTTACATTTTTTTTATTACCTTTCCCACCAAAAGCCAATTGAATAAAAATAAAAAAGCTACAATTTTTTTGGTTTAAAAAGCTAGTAATATTTTTATTTTTTATAAAATAAATTACTAGCTTTTTATTTTATTTCAAACTATAAAGAAAGATATAATTACCTTTTTTTTTTTTTTTTAAATCAATCAGACGTAATTTTATTTATATTTTTAATTCATTTTAAAATTAAAAAAAGAAAACAGCCAAAATTGAAAATTGACAGCAAATAAAAACAAAAGAAAAAGTAATTGTTCTTTAAAAACATTTTTCTGGTTTTGATGCAATGAACTTTTATTTTCATATTTTTGTTAGTGAAGTAGTTTTTATTAACTACTATGAAAAAGTTTAAATCTAAAAACAAAACATTAGAAAAAAAGTTTACTTTTTGTTGTGCAAACAGTGTGTTCAAATTTAAATTCAACCTAAAAATGGCACAAAGAGGAAAGAAAAATGTCAAAGGTCAAAAGTTGAAACAAAGCATTTAACGTCCAACAATGAAGTTTTTTCCTTCTATTTTTTTTCTTATGATTTTTTTACTTTATTTGGTTACTAAATGTTAACATTCTTGACTAGAAACGAAAAGCTGAAATAAGTAAATTAATGTTTATTGTTTATAAATAAAATGAAGTAATCATTTAAAAATGATTTTTAAGAAGTTTCATCTGGAATTACTGCTGGGTTCTTTTCTTCGTCTTTTTCGTTAAAAGAGTGAATTTGGGACAAAAAATCCCTCACGTTGTCATTGTTGAGCTACAGATGCAATCAAAATTTTCTTACAACAAATAAAAGAGGCCAACTTGAAAGAAATTATAAAAATCATGGTTTAATGTTTTTAATAAAACTATTTAATTACAAATTATTGATTTTTACAATTTTCCTTTGTTCCAATACAAGTGGAAAGAATTTTCTTGGTACTATAACTAAAACTACTTGTAATGTGTAGAGGTATTTTCAGGTCTTTTGATTTTTCCTTTTAAAAAAGACTTATTTTTTAGATGATGAATTTAGAAATTAGAGGAGGAGAAATCAAGCACACTGTCTTCACTTTATGGTAAACAAATGGGCAAAATAAAAAGAATATTTTACGTATCTTTTTAAAATAACGACAAAAGAAAAATAAGCCAAATTAATAATGATAGCATTGTTGAAAGAATAATTCCTCAGAGAAATGAAAAGGGACATTTATCAACGACTGAAGGAATGTCTTAGTTTTTGGCTTTCCTGACTTTTCATAAGGTTTTATTTTAAGGATTGTAATTAAACAATTCAAAAATAGTCAAGATAAAAATGGTTCTTTTTGCAGTCAATAAATTGAATTCAGATTTAAAACTTTTTTTCCATGCATCGATGAAAAAAAGTTTTGTGTTGGTAACGGGGCAAAAATCTGTTTTGCTTAAAAGTGAGAGAATAAAAGTCGATGTCAGATTGAGAAATATTTTAAGTTAATGGGGAAAAAAATTAATAATTTTCTTGAAAATACAAAGGGAATAATTGTTAAAAATAAAAAAATAATTTAATTAATTAAGCTAATGTTTCTGAGAATGTAAATAAACTGATGTTTAGTTTACTAGTTACTTTTTTTTTTTTTGTTTGAACTAATTGAAAAGAAATCAATGATTATTTTTTAACAATGCCTTTTTTTTAGTTTAAAAAAATCACCTTAAAATTTAAGGTGATCATAAAAAGAGGGACCAGTATTTAACTTAATCAACACCAAAGGAAAAAATAAAATTGGATAAAAATGAAATCAAATTTATTTAAACAAAGTGATTATTATCATCACCAATCTACTTAAATTTCCTTCCTTAATTTAAGCACAAAAGTAAAACAATAGTGTTGCAGATCTGATCTTCAAGTTGTAAACACCACATTTACTCCAATATGCAGGCCAAGTGAAAAAGTACTAAATTTCATATTGCAAAAACATTTAAGCAATACTAATTTTAGTTTCTGACACAATCTTGTAATATTAATTATTACAGGTGGAAATATACGGACCAAAGGTGTTTTTTAATTGCTTCAAAAATTATTTGCAAGTCGGTTATCCAAAAAACACATTTTTTACCACATGCTTTAGAAAAAAAAAAAAAAAAAAAAAACCTAATGAAAATAATTACATTTAAAAAAAAATGATATTGATATTAATTACGAGAAAATAAAAAAGTTAGCTTTACTTTTTTAATAACTGAAGAAAATTTAATCAAATTTTAAGTAGTGTATTTAAATTTTAAAAAGGCTGATGTCAAAAGTTTTCATAATAAATTATGTGATACAGCCAAGTAGTAAAAGAAGAGATCGTCTCAAATTCAAAATAATATAATAATTGTAAATGTAAAGGTAATTTAAACATTTCTTCTGTCATTTCCAATATATATAAAAAAAATACTTACCATATCGTAGACATTTAAGACAACAGGTTCTCGAGCCATAATTCAGAGAAGGGTCTTTTTTAATCCTAATTTGGATTTATTCGCTTTCAAAATCAAATAATTCATGTATTGTAAAATCAAAGAAAATATGTATTAATTATTATTTTAAACATAGAGGTGTATGTTGGTTTGGGTCTGTTTATAAATTTACCATGAGTAACAACAACAAAGCCTGTAGTGGAGTTTTTTTTTTAATTTTAAGAAGAGGTTTTTTTAGTCTTTTTTTAGTAGTGGAATTTTGACGGATGTTTAAATAGAGGAAAACAGCAGCTTTGCAAGATTTTATTTTTCTTCAATATTCCAAAGTAAAAAAAAAAAAAAAAAAATATCAAAAAAGATGTGGGCTTCCTTTTTCTTTACGAAAAAATTTCATTACGACAAGCAGGGAATAAAGAAGAATTGTTTAAAGAAGAGATATGTACTTTTTTTGTTTATAATTCAATTTTTTTTTTTTTCTTTTTTTTTTTCAGAAGGAAGAATAAAAGAGAAAGTGGAGGATTTTGAAATTAGTGATATTTAAACAGATCGGGACTTAAGAAAAAGGGGAAAACAAGATTGGTCGATGGTAAGGTTGTAGTAATGTAGACCAAGGTTTCCATGCAAGTAAAGAATAAGTTTCCTCCGCCCATGAGGAGGAAAAACGGGTTCCGAATGCCAATGAATAAAACTTCTTTTAATTCCACAGAAGAATCGTATCATCAAGTGAATGGACGACTATTATTTGGATGTCCAGACTTCTCGTTCCTTAGAATTAACTGCATTTTTAAATAAATGATAATTCGTAATAATTCCCATTTTAAGAGTAGAGTAAAATCTGGATTTCCTTGTTGCTTCCAACAGACATTGTAAAAGTCACCTCTTTGTTTTCTTTTTTAAATACGATGATTTCAAGATTTTTTTTTTTTTTTTGTAAGCAGTCAGTTATTTTTTTATTGTTTTTCTTCTTTCATTCTCTCTTCTTTATTTGTTCCGATTTTTCAGGGATGTTGTTGTTGCTATGTTTAGTTTTTTTTTTTTTTCTCTTTCTTCTTTTTTTTTAAGAGGTAGCCGGAACCACAACAACTACTACTCCTCCTCCTCATATAGAAAAAGCGAAAAAAAAGGCTGACACTCTAAAACATTCAGAACAGCAGCAGCACCATCCTCCTTCTCCCTCCACAAGTCGCCGTATGCGCTCTACGTCATCGAAACCAGCGCATCAACATTATAGTATTACACAACACAGCCTACGTATCGTGCGTTCTATGTCACCAGTTTACGCATTTCGAAGTCTGATGACGTAGAACGCATTGTGACCTTCCTCGCATTGGTGCGTGCTTGAAGGGGCAAAAGAAGCCTGTAGCATATCGGAGGGTAAACTTATTATTGTGGACCGAGAAAAGAAGAAATCTATATTATTTCTTATTATTTTGTTTAAAAGGATAATTATTTTGGTGCAGACACAGATGTTAACAATGAATGCCTGTGTTGCCAGGAGTTTGCATCGTGTATTTTGCTCGCGGTTGCTTAAAAAGCATTATGGAAAAGTTTCGTCCTTACGACTCGGCTTTTCACGTAATTTTAGGACTGCATCCGTAAGTATTTATATCTTTGACGGTAAGAAAGAAAGAAAGAAAAAGATATTTGTGTTGTATTGTATTTTAAATAAGCTTTAAAACTTTCGACTATATTGTCAGTCTTTCCAAGGTCGCAAGTGAAGCGATCGTTCAAACAAAATGATACCAACACTAAATTAGTGAAAATTAAACTTCAACCAGAAATCGTTCGGGCATGAGTTTTACTTTTAAATCGTCGTTCCCTTAACCAAATTACACTTTTAGTTATATAAATTTGATCTTACAACCTCCAATATATTCTGTAAATTCATCTTTTATTTTGGGTCTTAAATCCATCTTGGTACATGTGTTAAGCAAAGTAATAGTAAAAAAACAAATCAGAAACGAATGCTGATAGTTTTTTTTACCATGGACCGAACATGTGAGCAACGACGAAGCTTGTTTTTTTTTTTTTTTTTTTTTTGTTGTTGAGAAAATGCAAACAAAAAAGACACTTAACACTAGAAAGAGAAAATTGAAATTTCTAGGGCACATAATGAGGAAAGAGGGCTTGGAAAATTAGATACTCACAGGACAGATTGAAAAAGGCAAGTGTGATAGAGGAAGACATCGCATAATCTACCTAGCAAGCGTGTGTAAATGGTGGGACAAGGTTTAAAGCTAAAAGAGATAACAAAAAGAAAAAAATTATTAAGAAGAGACAAACACAAAGGACAGGAAATTGTGGAGAGTCACGATCGCCAACATCCTGAAGTTACATGGCACATATAAGTGTGGTGAAGAGAGAATGGTTATTCCTTTTTCATTTAAAGAGGAAACATCGGAGTTTTAGCAGGTGGGAAAAGTCAGTTACAGACGAATTAAGTAAGAAGAAAATAGAAGAAAAAATTGAAAATAAATGATAAATAATCAAAAATCAAAATTAAATGAAATTTTAGTTTGATTTAGTTTTGATATTTTTATTTATAATAAATGATCGCAATCAAAGTAAATTATTTTTCTATTTTCTTAATTCGTCTGTAATTGATGTCATTGCCACCTGCCAACATCGAAGTTTCCTCTTAAATGAAAAAGGAGTAATCATCCTTTCTTCACCACATTTCTATGTGCCATGTCCCTTCAGGACATTTGTCGATCATGGCTCTAAAAATAAAATAACAGATGTTATTTTTTTCTAGCTCACCACAAATGTTATATTTAAAAAAAGTGGGGTAAAGAGGTCTCCTTGATAATATGAAGATGAAAGAGAAAAAGCTAATAAAATTAACTTTAAAAAAAAATTAATAATGAATTATCAGACATCAAAACAAAACAAACTTTTTTCTTTTTTTGAACAGATGTTTTCACTCCCACCATTCATGATAACATTTGATTAAGTCATAATTTAAATTACACAAACTGCTCTTAGAAACTTTCGCTATATATATATAAAAACAAAAAGAAAACAGATATATTTTATTTACTTGTTTTAATATAATCAAATACAACAAAGATTTTTTCCAATTTTGCAAATTTCTTGAAAAAATATTTTAGAAACAAAAAAAAACAGATCCATTTGATTTTGAAGTAAACAATTCAGTCAGTTCATCCCGATTAAAAAAAATCTTAAAGAAGACAACTAAAAAATAAACAAAATTTTAAAAATGCAGATACTTCAAATGTTTATTTTCAAACATAGATATTTTATTCTTATCTTAGTTCCATTTCGAGAATGTAATCAAGAAAAATCCACGTGTTATTTAAGAAGCCTTTTTCACATAACAAATACTGAATTACCTCCCTTAGATTGGTTTACCTCACCAACTCTTTAGTTGACATTTTCCTATTAATAAAATACGAAATATAATTCAGTTCTTACAATCAGTAAAAATAAAAAATAAAAAAAGTTTGACCTATCTATTTGAGAACTGAAAAGTTTTGTGTCAGAAATAAAACAAAAGTACAATCAAAATACAATAATTTAATAACGACATAATTTCTGGAAAAATGTAATGATATTTAAAATCTCTTAATTAAAATAGCATGTAAAAATTTCAAAGACATGTCAAAAAGTCACATGAAAAGAATAATCACTGTATCAATATTGCAGATTAAAAAAAAACAAGGTCACCAAAAATAAAATTTAAAATAAGATTAAAAATGTGCAGATGCAGTAGAAAACAGAGCAGAAGATATAAAAAGAGAATTTTCAATCAATCACTTCAAAACCCTTTTACATCTCCTGAAAATGGATAAAGTATGAGACTTTGCAACAGGTCATAGTCAGTCAGCTTAAAAATGCCAAGTGTCTCCCTTCTAAGCAGTGAGAGATCATAATCCTCACTGACAACTGAAACTACATCCCAGCTTCTTTAAATCAATATTCTCTTTTTCTCATGTTATCAATAGTCCTGGGTATGATGATAAACTAAATCTGGTAGCAAGGCTTCTGACTGGGAGGTTTTGTGAAGTTAATTGTTGTTGTTCCCAGGTCCACCTTGATCTGGGATGGTAGTAACTGTTAGGGTCCCAGCTAATAGCAAATAATGAATCCACAAACAAAACACTATGAAAGTATGAAATGTCTTTCATGACATTAATCCATGTAATATTCTACAATTTCTTAAAAGCTACAACGGAAAACACACAACCTCTAGTAAATATGTCCCCACAAACATGTATATGCACAAAAGCTGAGTATCATCTACCAAAAGCAGAATAACATATCCTATTTTTATTGCTTCAAAGCTCCCAAGAAAATTACATTTTGGCATTAAATGACCCATAAGGAGTTGATTTGCTGTTAAACAAATCAGTCGTGTAAACTAAACAATGAGTAGTGACATTTAATAAAATTTATAAAACTTTCACGATATCAGAAAAATGTCTGTTTTTATGAACATTTCAAATAATAAAACCGTTTACTGTAAAAATGAACGCCTTTATTTACAAAAACTTTGTAAATAAAAATTACAATTTTAAACTTTACAAGAGTTATTGGAAGTTTATTTACTATGTTAATTGTAACTGTGATTAATTAGTAGTGTTGTTATAAATTCGCTTTATCCAGGTATATTTTCTGTCTGAATTTCTGAGATGAGGAGTTATTTGCATTTTAGTAACTGAGCAGTACTAAAAAAATAAGAACTAAGACAATTTCCCTCGACACGAGCAGTGGAACGAAAACAGTCTACCCCGTAGATTAAATAAAGGGTTAATTTCAGAATTCCCTGTAGATCGATATACACTTGGAGGAAGAAACGTTGTGATAACAACAACAAAAATGAGGACAATAGTTTAGATATATTTATTATTCTATATTATAAGTTTACCAACGTTTAGTCATGGTCTGAGTATTAGGTTCGGTAAAGGGAGGTAATTCAGATTTTACAGAAATTATTTTGTACACGAAATTTTATACTTTCAAGACAACTTATTTTTTTGTTTAAAAAGATTTATGTTCTTTTAATTAAAGAATCTTTTTAAAAATAGACACCAAAAAGCGAGTATCTTCCATTTTAGGGTTCAAAATAATTTTGGCATATCAAATACTGAATCACTTTCTTTAACTTGCTTTACTTAACCTCATATTCTCTGAATCTATAAATATATAGCAGAAATACCAGACGATATATGACAATTGAGCACTTTCAAAAAGAGTTTACTTATAGCAAAGAAAACGGCAACTTATCTTGTCAAACCAAGCGACAACGTGTTGTGTGTATCCTTCGACAGAAACAAAAAAAACATGCTGAAGACGGAATATTTAGGTGAAAAACAAGTACGTCACAGGAGTCTCTATAAAAGTACTTTGATATGCAAATTACTTGGCGTCCTCTCCCAGTTGTCGATGAATGGAAAAAATCCTCGGCCAATAAAAGCAGTTGGTGTTCTCGAATCGGGGAAGAAGAATTAGTGTATTTTGGCTACTGCGATCATCGGAGAGTGTGTTATTTTTCTGACTGGTTACGTGCATGGTGATTTGTGAGATAGTACCTGCGAATTGAATTTTTTGAATTTCTTTCTGCCCCTGATATTCAAGTGTGAACTTACAGTGATTTGTTCTCTGTGTTGTGGAATTAATCTGCGACAAACATTTCCTTTGCTTTCAGAACGCTTACATCACTAAAATGAATAGGGCGTGTAATTTAATGAGAAAATACTGACATAATAAGTTATAATTAATCTCATAAAGTTAACAAGTTGATTATAAAAGAGCCCTGACACCGCAGTTGATTGTGAATTTTGTACCCTTTTCAATGACTATACTATGGTTTTGAATTCAGAGTTGTCCTTCTCCTAGGCTGCTTAACAACCATGGATAGTGAGCCCAGTCTCTTCTGATATTTAATCTATAGTAGGGGAAGAAAAGGATGAATTTTTATATTTCCAAAGCATATTTGTGTGAAAGTGAAGGTAATGAACTTGGCCAAAATTCAAACATGATTTGCCGGTTTCTCTTTCTGAACTGCTAATCATTACGCTACCCTCCTCCTCAATCCCAGCGCATTGGATGTTGTGTAATATTTGTAGAATTTTGCTTTTTCTTTTGATTGGCCATCTTTATGTTACAGTAAATTTAAATCTTACTTAGGTTTTCAAATATTCAGTCATAAACACCCGGTTAATAAACAGTTTTTCTGTTCTCTTTGTTTCCTTCTGATGAGCTTTGTTGGTTTTGATCCAAAAAAAGGAATGACTGCTAAAAAAACACCCCCTCCCCTAAATTATAGATAAATTGTGCATTCTGGGATTTCTTCCTAACCAATGAAAAAAACCACTTCCTGGTCTCATCTGCCATATTTTTGTTCTTTCTTGTCTTGAAGTCAGAACACTACAATCACTTGACTGTATCTCTTTTGCATGTGAACACAATTCTTACTTTGTGAACATTTTGCCCTGTTACTGTTGATTAGTCTTGACTTGCATATATGTTATTTGCTTAGTAGTATTTTGCTCTGTACCTTTTCTTCCTTTTTATTGCAAGTTTTGTCAATTCTATATATTGAGCATTTTTGTCAATTACACTTAACTATACTTAATTATTCCACAGGTTTAGATTATTTCAAATCTGCTTATTTATTGTGACTCATTTTCCTTTCAAAAATTTCCCTACAGGTGCTGCACCATTTAGAAGAGGATCGGCCCGTGTTTCCTGGTTCCCGTTCCAACTATATTCACTCCCTTGAGTTCTTGCGTCCAGACATGTATGATGGAATACCTGTCTACAGAGTAATGAATAAGAACGGAGAAATTATACAAAAGGACCAAGACCCTCAGGTAAGGAGAAAAGAAAAAGGGTTTTTATTCTTCCTTGGCATTAATGTTTCGGTATCTTCATAGCTTTTGACAGAAGAAATACCACTAAAAATTACTGTACAACCCCAATCAAAAATAAGAAAACTCTCTCTCTCTCTCTCTCTCTATCTATCTATATATATATATATATATATATATATAATGTCATTAAAAAGAAATCCATTAATTCTTAAAAAATTGCATTGTTTATATTTTGGATATGAAACCGAACATATATCGGCTTTTGAGCATAACTGTAAGAGGAAGTGTGCATTCCTTAAAAGGCGTAAATAGAATTTTGGTTTGTTGTGACACACTCTGCCTGAGCAGTCTCAAGCATGCCGGATCAAAATGGTTTCTCCTACAAAAGAAGGACACATGTTTGAGCCCTGCTAGAGAGCACATTTCATTCAAGTTTTCAGGAATGTGCAAGCTGATAGGCGTAATACACACTGTGTTAAAATAAAAAAAAAATCGGGGTGTCTATTTCAAACATTCACTAAAAAAACTATCTACTAAAATTTCAAGCTATCCACTAAAAATAATGTTTTGAAGTTATATATATATATATAGGTAGCGTTGGGTAAATTTTCACCATTTTATATTTTTAATTTTGTGCATATGCATTTTATTTTTATTTTGTTGATTGCACAGTATAGTAAGGTCAGTTGGGCACCATTTGTGAGAAAAAGAGCACCATGATGCAATTCACACTACCAGAAATTTGAAAACAGCATGCTGTACTGCTTGTCATTTAAGCTGGAAGCTCCACTATGAACATTTCAGAGTGTTTGGGTGTTAATCTAATGACAGTGCAGAAGATTCGGAAAGAGTTGGATGAGTTTAATGGTGATTGCAAAGGTGTTTGGAGTGATGGTGACATACCACCATTCATTTTCTTACAGGGCCTCAGACTCAGCATAAAGGCCTACACCAAGTGCCTTGAGGAAGTACTGCTTCCCTGGGTCAAGAGGGTGGCTGCTGTAAGACCCTGTCTCTGGCAACAGGACTCTGCACTATGCCACACAAGCAAGAGAACCCAGTCATGGCTGTCAGACAATTTCTGTGGCCACATCACCCCTTACATCTGGCCACCTAACTTCCCAAACTGCAACCTCTTTGGTTGTTATGTGTGGGGCGCAGTTGAGCAAGAGTCCAATAAAACTCCTTGTAACATCAATGAACTGAAGGCAAGTATTATGGCAGCATTTACCAACTTAAACAAGGAGACCGTCTAGAAGAAATGCAAAAGATTCCAGAGTCTTCTGGAGGCCATAGTTGAAGCCAATGGTGTATTTATTGAATAAATTTTACTCTTTTAGTATTTCAAGATATTTTTGTTTAAATGTCCATATAATCACTCTATAGATGGCTCATGTGAGCCAAAAGCTTAGATCAAGGAACAGCATAATAAATATCCAAATGTTGGACAATTTTTGTCTTTATTTTCTCCTGAAATTAAAGCAAATGCACAGAGTTTAGAATAGCTCATGATCAGACGTAATAGACATTCATTGTCTGTTATATTTAACAATGTATGTTGGAATATATATCTATATATATATATATATATATATATATATATATATAAAAAAAAACACATTTCATTAAATATGATGAACAAGGAAAATTTTTTATTTAGTTTTTCCAGTGTTCTTACATTTTTGTGTTTGCTGAGAGTTACGGAGTACAATGTAATTCAAATTTCCCAAAAACATTTTGTTATAAGAGAGGCCCTGTACATCAAACATCTCTGCCTCACCATCACTCTCACCTTGTTTAACAAAACAAAGGGAGCGGTATGTTGAAAGTCGTTTAAAAATAGAAAGTTGCTTACTTGAATTCCAGCCCAATGATGGCTCAGAATTAATGCTCCTACTAGAATTAAAAAAAAAAAACACACACACACAAATAATAGATCTCACACAGTCAAAGTATGAAAAGAAACTAACAGCACCAAAAACAAAACCCCCTTGAAAATGGCTAAAGAAGTGGCCCAAAGCGCTTGAGACAATTATTTGTATTCCCTCACTCCCACCAAATGGAAAAATGTTAGAATGCTGGAAAAAGTAAATAAAAAATTAACAATATTTTCTTTATCCATCATATCATTTAAGTTGCAACCCAAATATTCATTTATATATATATATATATATATTCTATACATGTTTCATTAAATAATATAGACAAGTGTTGTCTATTTATTTTATGTAAATTCTTTTCATAACGTCTGATAAGCTTAATAACATTATCAGTAAACAAAGAAAGAAAATCATAATATTGATACATATTTTTTAATCCAATCTAAGCTTTCGGCTTACATAAGCCATTATCAAAGATGACAATTACAGTACAATATATTAAGCAATACACGGACAAGAATGTGATGATAATCTGTTTCTGTTTACATAGATGATTTCCAAGCAATGATAAACGTGTATATAAGACGCTGGAAGTGAAAATCGCACCGCAGCTCATGATGTCACACATGAGCATGTGAGAATGAATTTGAGAAGTATTAAGTATGAGAAGCCGTTGGTATATATACTTACTTGTCCGCTGATCCCAAGAGTGAAGCCGTCTGGAGTTAGACCATCCATGGTGGTAAGGTTGAAGAGGAAGACCCCCCCCCCCAGACGGAACACAACCAAATCCTGAAGACCACAACAGTGGAATAAGCAAAGATCTTCACAATTTCAATGGTCACACCAGCAGAAGAGGGCAGCACCAGTTGGGCAGGTGTAACTAAGATGGACCTTGACAGGCTAAGCTTGCGACAGCCCGATACAAGCAGGTTTGCCAGATGTTCCCTGTCTCAATTCCCTTTGAGCTGCAAAGGAGGCATTTCTGGCCAAGTGTCTGGGCTTCTCTGTCATTCAGAGTTGTCCACCAAAACTCTCTTTGATTCACGGCCATCTCCATCACCACCACCAGGGTAAAAAGAAAGGGAATAGAGAGGATGACGATGAAGAAATGTATATATATGTGTGTGTTTCTAAAGAAAAGAATATTTTTTTATTTATTAATCCAACCTCATTTTTATTACTTAAACATTTTTTTTTTTTTTTATGGACACTCATATTTGAGTAGTATTTATTTTCATCTACTGACCTGAATATTCTAGAAATCTTATTAGAAAAATATATGCTCTCTGGTAGGATTCAAACCTGCATTCCCCTAGGGAAAACCATCATTAGATGTGATGTGCTCTGACCTCTCAGTGCTTTGATGGCCAAGTAAAATCTGAATAGTGTCCTTAAACACAGATTAGGACACAAAATTGAGCAGATAATGTCTATTTCAAGAGTTGGGTTCACATTCTTATTTCTTGATGTGGCATTTTTTTCTTTCATTGTGTTACGTTGTGAGCATGTGGCATGCTTTTTACTAGTTTTCAGTGCACCCCGATGAAATCAAGAATTGGTATGCAGCATTGGGCAGGGGAGGTCATTGGCCATTCAGTCAAGGGTTGCATTGTATGTTTACACACACACACACACACACACATGGAAAAAATCAACCTCACACCATTAACTAGTGCATAAATTAATTTTTAAATTCATATAAAAATAATGAAAATGTGAAAATTTGCAGTCAGTTGCTGAAGCCTTCTGAAGAATTGGTAGAATGAGTACAAAACAGTTTGTCTATAAAACACCAGTCAAAGTGCTGAATATAATATCAATCAACTTTTCAACTGAAAAATTTTATTTGTATTAATCCTATATATATATATATATATATATATATATATATATATATATAATCTTTGGCAAAAAGTGATATTTAAATTAAAAGTGTGCTCAATACAATTTTCATAAAATGAAAATAGAGGGCAAATTAAAATATAAAATATTTGAAAAACTGATGTTTATACAAACACAGTTTCTACCAAGATGGTTTTGTCAGGTAGGTTTCTGCCTGACGGGACCGTCTTGATGTGTGTAGATACCTGAATCATCTCCAACAGCCTGTGTTTTTCATGTTCAAGTGTACTAGTGGATCTCTGTCCTTGATCCATAGTTTGTAGTACTAATGATCCTGTCTCAGCAATGCAATGATAAACAAGTTGTATGACTAGGTTGCCTTCAGTCTGGAAACACGATCTGATACAGCCTTGTGTCAGTTACCACTCACATGGCTGTATATAAAAATCATATCTACCTGCTCATGATAAGAATATCCTGCCATTGTTAAATAGAACACTTCTTAGTTAACTCACTACTGCACATGTTAAACATTGAAGACAGACTAGTCACAAATGTACACGAATGACAAATGTAACTTAGTCTACATGGCAATACAGTGCCATCTACCACAAACTTCCTTTAATCTTAAATAAAAAAAAATGAGAGATTCGTGGACATATATGGACTTTTGTCCTTGTTTCTATGTGATGAATTGCCCCCAAAGTTTGTAAAAGTATTTTTGTTCACCCTGTACGTATGTATGCATGTGTGTGTGTGTGTATATATATATATATATATATATATATATATAACCCAAATAAATAAATTAACAAATAAATGACTTCCGGTAAAATAGACTATCCACAATGCACCACTGACCCGTATATATAAATAGCCGAGAAAAATAACAGCACTCATGGCCTGACGAATGCATCTAGCATGAAACAGACTGTCGCCTCTAAGTGTTGACTTCTATGTTCACTTTTATATTTACACACGCTCTATCTCTGATATTGAACACTTTATCCCATAAATATAGCACATCTTAAGACTATATTTCTTCATATATATATATATATATATATATATATATAATTGTAATGTATAAACTAAAACAAATGCACATTATAACCAAAAACGTTTGTGGTTTTTCTCTTTATATATATATATATATATATATATATATATATATATATGCACACAACCACAGAAAAAGTTGAGAGGTGGAAGATTGAAGAAAGATTGTGTTGAAAAGCTTTTCTAAGACAATGATCTGTTTTGACCTTATAGAATGGGCTCATAGGTGCCACTGGGTTCAATCTATAATGATAATTCTTTTCACATCTGCCACACAAACCTCTACAGACTATTTTCCTGTTAACAATTGTTTTGCAATATAATAAATGATCATTCCGTCTTTTGACAGCTGGATGATGAGACTGTTCTGAAAATGTACCATAATATGACTCTGCTGAATACAATGGATCGTGTTTTATACGATTCCCAGCGGCAAGGCAGAATTTCATTCTACATGACCAATTATGGAGAAGAAGGCACACATATTGGTTCAGCAGCTGCCTTAGACTTTGGAGATTTGGTTTTTGCCCAGTACAGGGAAGCTGGTAAGTTGTTTTCTGAATATTCTGACTTTTTTGAAAGTCTTGTGGCAAGATAAAAAAAAAAAAATCAGTATTCTTTGATTTTACAAGCTAACAGTTGTAACATTGTGGTTGGATTAATTCATTACTTACAGATGTATTAAGTGCCATACAAGTCCCCCTGAATATGCCGTTTATCCCATACAGGTCTCCCGAATATGCGGTTTACTCCATTGTATAAGTTATAAAATGTTACCTAGAGAATTGACAGATGTTTCATTCCTTTTGTCTGTTTACACTAAGCAAAATATATGAGGGAATGACTGACATAAAATAGGTTAATGGTCCTTTGTCCATTAACAAAGATAACAAATGGTTTGGCTTACAGCTATATCATGTTGAAACATCACTTCCCATATAGTCACTGAAGTTAAGCAACTTCAAGCCTGGTCAGTATCTAAATGGGTGACTGTTTGGGAATGCCAGGTGCTGTAATCTTGGATGGTGTAATGGATAATGGTTCAGAATTGGAAATTGGAGAGTGGTGTTCAGATTTCAGTCGAGTTTGTTATATTCACTTATGTTCAAGTACCCTTGGGGAAAGGTATTAATCTATCTCTTCTCCCAGCTATGGGGTAATTAGTAAAACTTGTATCACTAAAACCATTATTATCTCTCCCCAAAACATTCTTACAATTTAAAAATATTTTCTGGCTTTAAATAACCTGTGAAGAATTGATAGGTCATAGAAAATGAATCAATTAACTGATCAAAACAAATAGTTTCACATTTGCAATTTGATTTTTAGGAAAATATGCCACTTGTTGTAAGATAAAAATAAGACAAATGAATTAATTTCAGAAAGGAAGTGGGAAAAACTGTTCATAATCATTTTGATTTTGCTGGGCTCTAGATAACCAGAAGTAATTAATTGGGTTGTTGTCCTGAAGTCAATAGATCAGGTACCGTGTCTCTTTAGATTGATCTCTGGTTAGTTTCCTTTGAGGGGATCACTGTAACACCTGTTAGGGTCCCAGCTATAGGCAAATAGTAAACTGCCAAACAAAAATCAAAACACTAGAAATGCATAAAAATAGTAAAAATACTAATACGTTTTTGTAGTAAAATTACCAGTTTGAATATTCCGATTTAGATTTCGGCATTAAATAACCCATACAGGCTGATATGCCACTAAACAACCAATCAACATTTGAAAAGATCAGGCAAGCCATTATGATTCTAGCAGTTTTCATATCTACATTATAGATTCTTTCGTCTTTCTATCAGTTTCTGGATATTTCCAGTTATCATCTTTCTCTAATAGAATGGAAACAATGGTTCTTTTTTAATTTGAAGATGAGTAATAAAAAAAAGAAAAGGAACTAAGTCATAGAGTCACGTAAAAAGGGGTTTGAGTTGATAGAAAAAAATAAAAACACATTTAATTAATTGAACAACCACTTCAAAAAAAAAAAATTGCTCTTTCTTTTTTGAATATTTGTAACCTGCAAAGAAAGGACATTCTTGCTTGTTTGCTTTCCCTTTCCTCTTTGTTCATTGTACTGAATGTGATTTAGAATTGGCACAATTTAAAATTTGCTGTATAAGAGGAGAATGTTTTGTATTGGATATAGGGAATTTATAGATATAAACAGTAGGAATCAATACTACATGGTGACTGTAAGTTTTGCCACTCAAGTGCATTTAGTCTCTGTCTGGAGATCACATAGAGTTGTGGAACTGTCACCTTGCAGTGTTTATTTTTATGTCCACACTTCTTGATAACCATTAACTATTAAGCACTCTTCCTGTATAACTATAAAAAAGTGTGTATGTATGTATGTATGTATGTATATATATATATATATATATATGTGTTTGTGTGTTTTATGGTATGCTACATTTATGGTTTAGTGTTCTCAATATCATGGATAGTGTATGTAAATATAAAAGTGGACACTGAGGTCAACAGACTGTTGGTGCTGTATGTGTATATATATATATATATATATATATATATATATATATATATATATATATATATATATATATAGTGTGTGTGTGTGCATGTTTATCCTGTTAAGCATTTATTTATAGTCACATTGCATTTTCTTAAGTATACATTTTTATTTTCTGAAGACAAGAACAAGAAAATAAAATTTTATATAAAGCAATACAAAAGAGGTGAAAATGCTACATGACCCATAATAGTTTTGATGCACAAGAAAAACTATGAAATATTTGGGCTGGTTACAGGGAAGCTTTGAATTACAGGTTTTGATTTATGAGGCAATATCCAAAATTTTGAGGAATTCAGACAGTGCCCAGTAGTACATATTTTTGCTGCTGTTTTCAAAGACTGGTTATAGAACCAAAATAAAACCCTTGTTCAATCTCTTTATTAATCAATAATTGTTTTGCTTACATTATTTTTTTTTCTTCTTTTAGGTGTTTTGATGTGGAGGGGATTCAATCTTGATGATTTCATGAATCAATGCTATGGAAACAATCTCGATTATGGCAAAGGAAGACAAATGCCAGTCCATTATGGGTCAAAGAAACTCAATTTTGTCACAATATCTTCCACACTGGCTACACAGATGCCACAAGGTAATGAAAACAAGGGAGATAACTGTTATTTATTTCTTAACCTAATTCTTTATTCTTGTACTAAATTAAAAAAAAATAAATAGAAAATAAACTATCACAAATTTTGTCAGTACCATTTGTTAACCCTGAATTATTTTTAGGTTCAAAGTTTGGATAGATTATTTTTTAAATTTGTTAATTTGTTGTTTCTCTTTGAAAAATTTCATTTTTGGGTGGGGGTTATTGGTATGAGAAGCAGAATTGGTGAACTAGAGTTGATGTTGTGGCAGAATCTGTTGCATTCACTTTGTACTAATACCCTTGGGAAAGGCATGAATCCAGCTGTTCTCTTTGAAACTATTGGTTAAATAACGCAGCAGGATAGGTTCTCTAGCCTTAGATGGGAGCCAGTCTAAGAGAAGTAAATGTCTGAATCCAAACCAATTGGGTGTATTGATTGGGAAGTAACAGCTTTTCACTTTTCATTCTCTTTGTGAAAAATGCTTACAGCTCTATCTAAAAGGCAATGGTATGTTGCATTACTAAAGAATGGTATACTATTGCAGTAAATGTCTCATTATGTACATACCTTTTCATTTAATTTTCTTTTATTATAGAAATTTAATTTTTACTATAACATTGAAAAAAAAATTTAATTTGGTTTTAATAAAATATGAGGTTAAATAATGAGTAGTAATGTGTGTGCTAGCTCAAGTTGTTCATGATCAGACATTTGTGATAGGACATTTTAAAACATTACCTTATACAAGTTATTATATAAAAGCTTGAGGAATTTGAACAATGTGTAGATAACATATATTTTTTTTTTTTTTTTTTTCAAAATTAAATCACACATTGAAGAATTAAACAGGGATTTGGGTTTACTGAGAGAATATAATTTCCACAGGAAGCCCTCTAACCAAAACAACATTCCTCTGAAGGATAAATCCTACTTTTTGGTTTATTCCTCATCTTGTTGAAAAAGGACACAGGTGTGTCTGAAAATTCCAACTTTAAAACCTTTCTTTTCATGCTTCAATTTAGTCAAAAGGCTAATGTATAATAAATATCATCAATCTTATTGCCAATAATATTATCATTTTGTTGGATTTTTGTTCTGTAAATTTTATTAATTGGCCTATTAAATCTACATATATACATAACTGTAGTGTCTTACAGCTTGGAAAAGACTAATGTGGGAGAGACCTGTTAAGGATACCCAAAGAAAACACGGATCAGTTAAAGACTTCTGACATACAAGAGGGGCTCTCTGAAATCTGATAATTCATACATTCTGCATCGGCACTAGCTTTATTAGGAAAGGAATCTCTGATTCCGGTAGTCATTGTTATCATTCTATCACAATAACCACACTACTTGCAAAAAACTGAAAGCATCTAAATGGACTAATGTCCATTCTGAGAGATTTATTTCTTGCTTAAAAAGTTGACTTAAAATGCAGTAGCTATATAGAAATTAATTCTAAGATTTCAGGTAGGTCTCTCCACAGATTCATGATGCCTAAAGTTTAAAATAAAGTTTTAAAAATGAAAAGTTTTTCTTGATACTTTTATTTTAGATTTAATTTCAAGTTAATAGATTAAATTTAATGTTTCCAATAAGCAAAATACTCTGCTCTATTTAAAGACATTTAAATTGGAAGTTTTTTTCCCCCACAAAAAAATCTGATTTCAGCACCATTTTTAGCCCATGCTTATTGCAATGTAATTCTCTTTATTAAAAAATCTTCCAAAAATAAAATATATTTTTCTGAAACTTTCTTTGAGGAATATTAGCTGATTTAAAATATAATTAATCTGATTTAAAAAAAAACATATTATTTACTTTGTTTAAACTATGGCAGAAATGCATTTTTTTTTTAATTCAGTGGTAGCTGTTTATTTAAGCTGTTGACATAACAACAGCTTGATGGCAGATGGTTGTTTATCTAATGTTGTTCTGTGGAGGCTTTAGCTGTAAAAAAAAAAATAATTGAAGAATATAATGTGTGCTTTTTATATATAAGTATATTTAAGTACTCAGTAATCTAAAAATTTAGGAAAATACTCTCCATAATGTTTTATTGAATTCTATATACTTTGGTTTAATTTTATTATAGTGATCTTTCTTATTTTCTGATAATGTGTCATGCATGAACAACTATATCTATGAAAATCAGAACGTTTATACACATACAAAAAAAAATTCATAATTCCTTTAAAAATATTGGTGTTTGATGAATTGTAGTAAGCATTTCTATTTATGATTAGTAAATATAGTTTTTACTTAATAATATCATCTAACAGAGTGAAATTAATGCAGAATTTTAAGATTTGAAACATAATAAATTATTATAATTAAAATGAAAACAATTCTTATAAAAATTCATTATTCATAGTCTCATTAATATATTTTATTTATAAAAGCAATTAAATGTTTTTCTAGTTAACTACTGTTTTAATTTTATTACATTAAAAAAATGTAATAAAAAAACTTTTACAATTCAGAGCAGATTTTTAGTAAATTGTGCTTGTTTTATAAAAAGAAATTGATTATTTAAATTCTCCAATAGGGTGTAATTTAATTTCTCAAAATTTTATGAAATTAAGTAAGTTTGGGATAATAAAAAAAAAAAAAAAATAATTTCTAAAATAATTTCTTTCATTTGTGAATAATTCCTTAAAGTTTCATTAATATCTGACAATCATTTGATTTTTGCAAGAATTTCCAAATCAATATGTTTTTTTACTGTAAAAGATGCTAAAATTTCTTGTATTAAACTTTGGTCTCCCTCATTGACATGAGAAGAACAAGATATTTAACCAAAATTTTGAATGTGTAAGAAAGGATTAAAAAAATTTAATTAAATAATCAAAAAATACTTTGGTCTTTCCTCTTGATAATAAACATTTTGACAGTAAAACTTTGTTTTTATTAAGTTTGGGGCCTTTTTGACCATAGTATGCCCCCTTTTTTAACGATTTAGTGGCGGTACCTAGTTTAAGATAATTATTTGTTCAAGCATATGGATTTTTCCATTTAAAAAAAAAAAGAAAGAAAAATTCATTTTGCCTCTACTGCAGATTTTCTTTTTTATTTACTGATAATTCACACAATACAAGGCCCAAGAGCATCTCAACATAGAGAGTTACTGAGTAAGGTTGTAAAGAAGGGGGAAGTAAGAGAGTATTATGAGGATGAGAAGATTAGATGTTGGTTGACTCTAGACTTAAAGAGACCAAGATTGTACTGTATATGCTGGCGTACAAGGTGACTGGAATGTATAAGGTAACCCCCAAATATTCAAGTTAAAATGTAGGTTTCAGGCTATGTTTGCTGTACAAGATGATACCCTCTTAAATCATATTTAAAAATGTATTGAATTTATTAAATAAATTCAGTAAGCATATACTACTTTCTTTTCATTCAAATTCTAATGAAAAAATGATGGGGAGATATTGTCAATTAACTACCACAATCTAAAATAACCCATGAGCGAGTGCTGTGTTTTTGGTAGGCTATTATGGTAGCCTGAACAGCTTTTTCCCTGCTAACCATCCATTCATTCCACTGTTCTCAAATGTGATGTTAAACAGCTTGTTGAGACACACGCCCAGTTGTGTTTTTGTTCACTGTCATCAAAAAAAGGAAGCGAGACAGTGGTTAGCCTACAATCAAAAATCTCCCATGCTAACAACTTATCATAAACCACAGGAATTCACATTTTATACCTGGACTATAAAATGGCCCCCTATTTTGGGGGTTATTTTTTTAAGGTTAAACGATATATGCTGACACATACGGTAGTTGTCGGAGAAAAATTCTCTTGGGAGTTTGTTCTGCAAAGTAACAGTTCTGGTGAAGAAGTTATCTGAGTGGAACTTTCTCTTTATCAAAGGAACACAAAGGGAATGTGGATGGTTTACCAATCATAACACAGCATGGTGGGTCCTAGCTGTAAAAGTCTGAGCTGGTGCACTAAGGAATGTAAGTCATCCAAACATGTCATGGTAATAACGAAATAGTAATGAAAGGCTGGAAAAAAAAAAAAAAATATAATATTGGAATTCTTTTTGTATTGTTTTATGAATCAAAACCAAAATGGTAGGAAAGCAGCCGTAATAATAAAGTTTTTTTTTTTTTTTGTTTCTTAGCTGCTGGTGCTGCTTATGCTTACAAGCGAGCCCAAAATGGGAATTGTGTGATCTGTTATTTTGGTGAAGGAGCTGCCTCAGAAGGAGATGCACATGCTGCCTTCAATTTTGCTGCTACATTGGAATGCCCTGTGATATTTTTCTGGTAAGTAATTTCTTTTAACAACATACTTTTTCATGTAACTTGGCCAATAAATGGTTTATGCAACATCTGTTACGTGTGTGTGTAATAGAGTTGGCCAGTGGTTTTTATTGGTTATGTGTTCATAATTTATTCCATCGTCTCTGCCAGCTGAAATTTTTGTTTCTTTCTCATGAAGTTTTCTTCACTTGTACTATTCTGTGGTTTTAATCATAAAAATATAAGCGGGAAATGGCTTACCCAATTTTTTTTTAAATAAATTTATTATTTTTGCTATTTTCTGCTAATCAGAGTGCAACAAACATTCATCAGAATGTATGCCAGTGAAAGTTTGCTTGTATGCTGGGTAGTGAGGTTGGGGATTGATTGGCTACCTGGGTGTATGCCAGGAATTACGTGTTTATTGGTTACATGCATGTAGTGTATCAGTTTCCATTTAAAATCCTATTACTTTTATTCTTAGCAGACTGAAATACAGATAACCTTCATAGATGTGAAGTATAATATATTAACGGTACTGTCCTCACAAGCGATAGGAATTGAAATAAAATTTGGCCTTTATAATTATTATGTTGACTTGTCTGAATGAAAATTATTTTCTTGATGTAACAGTTTAATTACTTCAATAGATAATTATGTAGGTTCTGACTAAACAAAAATAAAGAAAAGAAAAAAAAATTATAAATTCCTAAAAGACATTTATTTTTTAAAAATTAAAGCTCACTCAATAAAATGCCCAAAAGCCACTCAAGGTAGAGCGTTACTAAATGAGGTGTGTGATATGAAATAGTGGAGGAAGTAGGAAGTGAAGATTTTGAGGATATGGAAGATAGATAATGATTGACCCAAGACTTGAAGAAGTTAAAATTTTAGTGTTCCAGGAAGCATCAGTGTAGGAGTATGTTCCACAAAGCTGCAGTTCTTGGGATGATGCTTTCTGAGTGGAACATCTTTCTTACCAAATGAATACGTTGGGAATCAGGGTGATTCAACCCTGTGGATGTGGCAAGTTGGTTCTTAGTTGCAATGGTTTGATATGGTGACACTAAGGAATGGAACTTGTCTGAACAATTGTCACAGAAATAGCAATAGATGTGTGAGGTTGCGTCTGTTGAAAGGGGGGGGGGCTGTAGGCTGAATAATTAATCAGTGTTTAAAGTATTTCAATTATGTTAATTCACTGATATTTGAGGGGTGAAATTTAGGCTTGTGAGATGTATACTTCTTCAACAATGTACTTCCTAAACTCTTTTAATATTGTTTTATATAAAAAAGTTTTTTTGTCTTTCTTTCAGCCGGAATAATGGTTATGCTATTTCAACGCCAACCAAAGACCAGTACCGAGGAGATGGCATTGGTAAGAACCTTTTCATGAGTAAAAAGTTAACATAATTTGTTTCTCTTCATTTAATATAATTCATGTATGAGAGAATGCTGAAAAATTCTCAGCCTAACCGAGAAGAGATTAAAAAAGAAAAAACTTTATAAATTTTTTAAAATAAAATTAAAAACAATTCTTGTAAAAATTCATTATTCATTGAAAATTTTTTTTTTCTTAAGAATAATTTTCATAATATATTTTAGACATAAAAGCAATTGAATGATTTTCTAATTAAGTAATGTCTTGCTTCCAGTATAAGTTTGGGATAATTCTAATATCTGTCCCAAATAAATCAAGCTTACCTAGCTGTTCTTTGTGACATACCTTGTCAAATGCTTTTGTATACCGTATATACATGAATATAGAACAAGTTTTTATGATCAGTTTTTTATGCAAAAAATCTGAGGTCACATTATACATAGTTAATTTTCTTTGAAGTGGTTAAAAATCAAGCATTTACAGTGACCAGTTGCACTATACACAGGTAAATTTTTTCTGGACAGGTTAAAATTCATGCAAAAGATTCAGGGGTTGAACTATACATGAAGTCGGTTTATGCCTGTGTATATACGGTTATCTATAAAAAATCAGTATATGTCGCTTTCTATTTGTATTGATCTTTCTTATATCATTCTAGACATAAATATTGCATTCCTTGTTCCAGTGTCTTTAACAAATCTTCTATTAATTAGTCCTTGTAAAATGATAGGCTACTTTGTCTCATAGTAAAAAGAAATTCCTAATATGTTTAATAAATTGTTGTCATTGCAGCTGCTCGAGGACCTGGCTATGGGATGAGTACAATTCGTGTTGATGGTAATGATGTGTTTGCTGTATACAATGCTACCAAGGCCGCACGGAATATATGCCTCAATGAAATGAGACCTGTCCTTATTGAAGCTATGACATATCGGTAAGTCTACTTTGATACACTGGTTCCAGTATGATCACTGAAGTTAAGCAACATCAAGCCTGGTCAGTACATAGATCGGTGACCTGGTAGTGAGAAGATTTATGTCAATCACCAATCCAGTTTGGGTCTCTTTTGTAGGAGGAGTGGTGAATATATTTATTAAATGTCTCTCTGATCTCAGTTGATCTTTCAGATGTTTGTGTCTGTTCTTTAGTGTTTAACAATACTTGTATTTTGTTTTTCCAAGTCCCTTGATTCCTGCTTGTCTTTTCATTCAGAATTGGTCACCACAGTACGTCAGATGACAGTTCAGCCTATCGATCTGTGGATGAAGTGAATTACTGGGACAAGGAGGATCATCCTATCACTCGTCTACGTTACAACATCGTGGCAAGAGGATTATGGGACGACAACAAGGAGAAAGCATGGAAGCAACTCACAAGAAAACAGGTAATTCTAACTTATTATTATCAAGAAAGAGTTTGAAGCCTGCATATAGTCAGGATTTATTTTCATATGTAATTTTGGATTTTACCCTGTACTGGATAATACTTTTTAACGCATTTAATAGTTTATGCCTATAACATAACATACAAACTTATAAATAAACACAAATTGCAAACTTACATATAGAATTAGAAACTTCTATCTACAAGTAAGAATAGCTATATAATGAAAAAGAATATGGAATATTTAGCATAAGTATTGCATAATATACAATTATTGAGTTAGAAAAAATAAATGTAAGTTGAACTCTGTCTTTTTACAGACATCCTAAAGATTTTGAAGACACATCATTTCTTGGTCTGCACACTGATTTGTTCTGGGAATTTCTAGTCTACATGGTTCTGGATTCCAAAACTTTTTCACAGAGTTTAATACTTTTTTTGTGTGCCTGCACACACTGCTACATAACTTCTGATAATCATCTGCAATGTAGATTTGGTCAGTAAACCAATGGTCTGCCCATCTGTAAGAGATGAAACTACAAATTTTGAGTAAAGATTCTCTTTTCTTTGGTAGAAGAATAAATGCCAAAAGAGCTGGTATTGCTCTAGAATTTCATCTTGTATTAAGTTAGTTGTTTTTTTAAACTTCACTTTAGGAGATCTTCCATTTTTTTTCGAAAAAGTTAAATGAAATAGAAATTTTCATATCATCACTCCATCTTGTTTCATTAATCTCTTCTTTACCATTCTTGAAATTCTTCTTGAGCTGTTCTTAATTATTTACAAGTTTACGGATAAATGGATATTCAATATGGGTGATGTGTTGTTTCCTCCAAGTTCATCATCCATTACTATGTGAAGCACTTAGTCAAGAACATGATGTTAACAACCAAAAAATTGTGATTCTTCCAGTTTCTTTTGAGCAAATAGTCTTTGTAACTGAATGACAATCCCATTCCTGCTTCTTGTGTTCAGATTCATACTGTCTGCAACAATCATTTTATGCTCTTCAATAAATTGTATTCATCCAGAACAGCTGTTATTCCTTCGACAACAGTATCCACTTTTCCATTTGATAGATGTAATGCTTTTAAATTAACTTTTCTTCTTTCAATCTTCAAAACAAGCACTAGATATTCTTGGCCATCAGTTTGGTTACCATCAAAATGCAATGACCAATTTTCTAAGTTTAGTATTTTCTTTATTAAATTTAACGGCTTCTTTAATAGTGAATCTGTAAATATCAGATTGAGAAGGTGTCTTAATGTCAATCCTTGAAATAACTGTTGATAAACATTTGCTGCTTTGCAAGTTTGAAGATGTTCCTAATTTGGTTGCAGTTTTGGTTCCTTTTTCTTGTGGATTGTTCTTCAGAACTTTTGAACTCTTCATATACACTCTCTGATTGGGTCTCTGATTCAGAAGTTAAAGTTGTTAGTATTGTTAAAGTTTGCTTCAGGATCACTTTTCTTTTGGATGGAGGAATAGGTTTGGAACTCACAGTCTTTCCAGTTGTATGTTCTTTGTTTTTGATCTGAAGATGACATAACTGTCTATCTTTACTACACAGCCATTCAACATTTCCTTTTGTGATGTCAAAAATTTCATTCAGTGGGTCATATTTTCTCCATTTCACATATTCATCATAGGTGTTCAGCACTTGATGCAGTTTTGACTTTAGTTGATAAATTTAATTTTGTTTGCCATAAACTTTAGCTATTTCCTTTATACGTTCTTTCCTTCCTTTGATGGAGGCTCCAGGGTACAGATAGCAACCAACAGTTTAGATTCTGAGAGATATCCTGCTTTTGTTTTCCAGTGATTGTTCTTCTAGTGGAACAGTTCTTGTCTTATGAGATATTTTGTTCAGATCTTATCATTTCAATCAGTGTTAGAATCACTTTTTCTTTTTCATGAGACATTATGGTTAAAAATGAATACTTGGAGATCTTTCAGAAAATCAGTCACTGTTGGAAGCTTATCTATTCTGAAACAAAAAAAAAAAAAAGATATTTGATCACAAACACAACACACTTTTCCCATTCACCTTATCTACAGGACCATCCAACCAGCGCTCATGCTTGTATAGTCCTACAAAATGCACGTCATAAATTTCCATAAAGTCCTATAAGGTTACAGAAAGTCATAGCATTACTATACTTTACGATTTTAGAAATTTTATGTTGGAGGTGACTTTTTCTTTTTTTTAAAGAATAAATTAAACTCTTCATTATTTTTTAACAAAAATTCATTGAATTATGGTATAGGAAATCAATTATTTCTCAAAAAGTCATAACCTCAATATATACAGGGTGCATCAAAAATACTTTTACAAACATTGGGAAAGGATTCCTCACACTAAAACAAGGACAAAAGTTCATATAAAACATATGTTCACAAATCTTTCATTTTTGAGTTATTAAGTTTAAAGTTTACAGTAGACACTGTTAAATGTACAATCCAAAAATAGTTTTACAAACTTTGGGGTCAGGTTCCTGACACCAAAATAAGGTAAAAATGTCCATATAAACTTATTTCCAAAAGGCCATTGTTGTACCTCAACACAGCAACTTATAACAAATGTTCAAAATGTCCACCGCTTGCTTCTGCACACACATGCATCTGTTGGATCATTGAGTGGCAGATCCTTTCAATTAATCCCACACGGTGTCAAATGGTTTTGCAGACCCCCATGACACGTTGATGAAGCATCTCTGCATAATTAATGTCTGCTGCATAAGCCAATTATTTTAGGTGGCCCCACAGATAAAAATCCAAAGGATTATGGTTGGAAGAATGTGCAGACCATGGAACCGGTCCTCCCTTACTTATCCATCTTTCATGGTAGATATCACCCAGTGCATCACGAACAATTTGACTAAAATGTGCAGAAGCCCCATCATACATGAACCACATGCATTTTCGTATTAGCAGGGGTACATCCACTAGCAGGTCTGGAAGTTTGTTTGAAATAAAGTCCCTGTAGACAGCTCCTGTAAGACGTGCTGGCAGAATATATGGCCCTACCAGACAGTCACCTACAATTCCAGCCCACATATTAAATGTAAACTGATGTTGGTGTCTAGCCTGTATTGTACTATGAGGATTCCAATCTGCCTACAAATGTTGGTTGTGTAAATTTGTTATTCCATCTCTTCCAAATGTTGCCTCATTCGTGAACAAGACTGAAGAGACAAACAACAGATCAGCAGTTTGTGCAATAAACCATTGGCAAAAGTTCTGTTGTGAGTGATCAGAAGGCAAAAGACCCTGTGTTACACCTACTGGGGGCGCTCCGCGTTCGACTCTTAGTCACTGTCATCAGTATGTGACCCCGTCTATTGGTGATTGTTGCTACCCGGCGGGATCCTTTGGTCAGGGTACCAAATGGTGTGGCCGGTCGATTCTAACAGCACAAATATGTAACGGCTTCACCCCAGATGCAACCGGTTCGATACCAACTCCGTCATTCTCAGCTTGCTTCCAGTGACTGGTTACTGAAGTAACTACCTTGATCTCAAGTCTAACCTACCCACATTGTGATTTGATCTTAGGTTGATGAGATCAATCAGACACCGGGGCCATAGTGCAAGGTGAGTCTAAACTGGAGGTGACATCGCACAAGCAAAAAAAAAAGAAAGAAAGAAAAACCAAAAGGTTCATGTATGTTCAAAGAAAGCAAATCCTCTTTTATCAATCTGTTCTATACAGGAGTGTGTTTTCCTCTCAACCCGTTTCTTCTGAGAGTGACACTATTGTACTTCTAAGCAAGTTCTGGTTTTCTAAGTCAACTGGTTTAGTTTTTAAGTGCTGACATAGCTTCGTTCGTCAGTATAACTTGCTGTTTGTAGGAAGGCAAAGTCGGAGGCAGGAATTGTGGAATCTCTTTGTCAGTTCTGCGTGGCAACTCTTTGGCTGCTGCATGTGAACTGCTGACTCACAAACTGCCTGAAGGTGCTTACTTATATGGACCTCAACCAAAAACCGGTGCGGGGTTAGACACAGCTTGGGGTTTTCGGTGAATCCCTGATTTCCAACTAGGGACTCTTTGTTGTCTGGCTAGGAAAATTAATTACTTCCTATTTCTGGGGTCATCCCTTCATCAGTTAGGGGAGGTTGCGGGATAGCTATCCTCCTAAACTTCCTCACATTAGTATTTCACACCAATTCCTTTTGGTGGGCGTTAGTAACTTCTCTGTGTTTCTTACTATTTTACCTCTGCCTATCACCACTGCTACCACATGACCAATGGCATCTTGGTTGTGCTGATGTGGCTAAGCTTGCTTCTTTAATTAACTCTTTGACACCATTGCTTATTCAGGATTTCTTATCCATGCAGTTTTAGAATTGTCAACTGGAACTTTGTTTACACAATTCCTCTTTCACCCTACCAAAATTCTTACAATTAACACATGGCCCTATTGCCTGGCCAGTTCCTGATATCTATGCATTCTTAAACGATATCTTTGTCGCTTCTGGTTATTTGTGTCTTCTTAACCAGCACTTTTAACGGACATCATTAATCTATTGTCAGAGACTGCCACATTGCCTCTTGTGAAATTATCATTGATGCACTTCTTCAGTTTCTTAAGAAAAGTAGACTTTTTTATGGAAAATAAAATAAAATCTTTTTATGTTGAACGCTATAGCCATTGGGATAATTTTTAACCCTTCTTTTCTGTTTTCCACATTTTCTCGTTCAATTTTTATGGCTAATTAGTTAATTAATTGCCATAGCTAAATAGTGTCACACCTGTACACATTGCAAATGATACAGATACAGGAGCTGCTCTTGAAGTACCCTTCATTTGATACTATGAGATGTACGACATGCTAGGGCCACTTGACGTGTGCAGATACTTAGATCGTCTCCAAGAGCCCATAGAATATATTCTTCGTGGTGAGGCGTATGAGTGAATCTCAGTCTTCCTTGATCCATAGTTTGTGGTGCCACAGATCCTGTCTTAGCAGTGTGATGATAAATAAACTGCAACAAAAGTTGGATGACTTGGTTGCCTTTGGTCTGATATAGCTGTGCAGTCTCGCATTCATTACCATTTGCATGGCCTTATGTAAAAATCATATCTGCCTGCTCACAATATGAATATCCTGCATTGTTAAATGGAACACTTCCCAGTTAACTCACTACTACACATGTTGAATGTTGAAGACAGTCTAGTAACAAATGTACACAAATGACAAATGTAAGCTAGTTTACATGGCAACACAGCACAATCTACCATAAACTTTCTTTAAACTTAAATTGGCCAGTTAAAAAACATCAGTCCAAATTATGAGTAACTGATGTAAACCGATATATATATATATATATAATCATGACATTTAAACTGACTCTTTTTTTCTATATATTGTAACTATTTTGCTTAAAGTTCATATTTTCATGATTTTGAATGAAAATTTGCAACATTTTTCACAGAAATTTTCACTTTCCATAATTACAATTCAGATATTTGGTTAAAAAAAAAAAAGAAAAAAGCGTCAATTTAAATTGATGTCAAGAAGATATGCAACTTTTATTTACTTCAGTGATCACATATTTCACTAGAAATATTTGTGAAAATTTCAGTTTTCCTATTTTAAATTTCTGATAAATCTTAAGTTAATGATTGATTAAGGTCATGGCGAGTTCTATGACAATAAAATATCTGTAGAAATTCCCCTGCTTGGGCTTAACAACTTTAACAAAATATTGCAATAACAATCATAAATATGAGTGCTGGTTTTTATTTTAAGAAGTAAGGGGGTACAAATAAAAAGATTTGAAACTGACAACTTTTTCCATTTCACTGAAATCTACGTTAAATATTTTTACCTTCCTTACTTTCTTTCATTTTTTTTCACTGAAACCAAGTAGACTCTCTGATATGCGTTTTCTTCTTTCCATGCCATTCAAAACAGAATATTAGTTATGAGGCAGAGCGTAATGGTCATACTAAAGGAGGGACATGTAGAATTATAATAAGATGATGCCACAAATACAACCACTGCGCTGTCTTTTCCAAGAATAGTCATGGCAATGTTGTACAGTACTGATATTAATGAAAAAGAAAGTTGTGGAGAGCCATAATAACCTCTGTACTTAAGTGACATAAAACTTAAGAAAGAGGAATTAGTGGGGAGAGAATGAAAGACTAATTATGGTTGTATTTGAATCCAGTATACGTGAAAGAAGTTTCAAATGCCCACTGTCTGTACTGTTACCCCAGTTACATTTTTTATTCATTTTCTGACTTTTAAAAGAAAATGGTTGTAGGGAAAAGAATTTTAAAAATTAAAATCCACATTACATTTTTTTTTTTTTTCTTCTGTCCTGGGTAAGACAATAAACCACGTCCAACAGCAAGGCCTCTGATCAGGAGCTTTTGAGGAGTGTGGAAGCACCTCTTAATTGCTAGTGTTCCCAGGTCCACCATGACCCAGGGTGGTAGCATCTGTTAGGGTCCCAGCTATGAGCAAATAGTTAACCCCCAAACTGGGGTCAAAACATTATGAGAATGTAAAAATAGGTTTTAATACTAAAGATACTTTGAAAAAAAATTATTACCAGAAATAGATTTTTGAAAGAAAAAAATACCAGAAATAGATCTAGAAAACAAAAAAAATACCAGAAAACAATATTACCAGCAATAAAAATTCTATTGGCATTAAATGACCCATTGAGGTTGATATGCCAGAAACCAAACCAAACCAATGAATTTTTTTTCTACTTTACTCTAGCATTTTTTAGGGACACTATATTTCTAATTTAAATATGTGCATATCATGACATCACAGGAAGAAACTTTCTAAAATAAATTAGTCTGTTAGGGGTACAAAACATCTAAAATTTAAGTTTTGGTCTGTATTTCATCTTGTTTGCTCCGAAAATAATGTCCCCTCTTTTACGATGACCCATGATGCCCAAGGTGGACATTGGGGATGTGGATTTCTTGCCATAGAACAATAGTTACCAAGCTTGTCTAGCAGGCTGTCACAACTGCAGTGAGTTTGATCCTTACCAAGTGCCCCGATGCACTTAGCATGTTCACGTTATTGATTGTCTCTTTTTATTTCTATCCTTACAGGTAATGAAAGCTTTCTCAACAGCAGAGAATCGTAAAAAGTGTAATCCTGAAACAATGTTTGACGACGTCTATGATAAGATTCCCGACCATATTCAGAAACAGAAGGAACAGATGATTAACCATGTGAGCCAATACAAAGAACATTATCCTTTGAAATCCTATGACAAAATCTCCAGTGGATGAAGGCACCTATGTTGTTGTTGTTAAATCCCTTCTGGAAAATCTCTTCCTTTCCTCAGCGTTGACTTAGGTAATTTAATTCTGCAGTGACAACAGTTAGATTCTTAACATGCCATAAAGCTAGCTGTTTGTATTTTAGCCATTCCATACACACACCAACACATAACGAACCAATGGATACACTAAAAATAATTTTTTTTTTTTAAATGAGAAAAAAATAGACCAACATATCAAATGACTTTACTCCATCGAAGTTGCAAGAAATTTCTTCACAGTCATTGTTGTATTAAATCTGTGCAAAAATTCATAGTGCTCACTTTTTTTTTTGAAAACTAGAGACTGAATGCACAGTAGAAAACTTTTTTCTGTCTTCTTCTTTTTTTACTTTCTCTTCTCTCCTCCCCCTTTTTATTTCTCTTCTCTCCTCCCCCTTTTTATTTCTATTCTCCCCCCTTTTTATTTCTATTCTCCCCCTTTTCTTTCTATTCTCTCCCCCCTTTTTTTTTCTATTCTCTCCCCCCCCCTTTTTTCTATTCTCTCCTCCCCCTTTTCTTTTCTATTCTCTCCTCCCCCTTTTTCTTTCTATTCTTTTCCTTTCTCTCCTCCCCATTTTTTTTTTACCCTTCTCTTTCTCTCCTCCCCCTCTCTTTTTCTTTCTTTCCCTTCTTTCTCTCCTTTCCCCTTCTTTCTCTCTTCCCGTCTCTTTCCTCCTTCTTTCTCTCTTCCCGTCTCTTTCCTCCTTCTTTCTCTCTTCCCGTCTCTTTCCTCCTTCTTTCTCTCTTCCCGTCTCTTTCCTCCTTCTTTCTCTCTTCCCGTCTCTTTCCTCCTTCTTTCTCTCTTCCCTCCTTCTTTCTCTTCTCCCCTTTATTTTTCCCTCCCCCCCTCTTGTATTTTTCTCTCTCCTCTTTTTTTTAAAGAAAATATTCTGGCAATTTATATATACACTTAATTTTTATGCTAACATAGTTATATTATTACAATATACAATGATAAACCTTTAACTCTAGAATATGCTCAAAAAACAAAAATAATCTTTGCTTTATGATACGGATCTTTTCTTTTTTATGGTTTATTTTCATCTTTCTCAGGCTAAAACCTATAAAGATGAGGATACTCGTTCATTCTTTCTTTTTAATGAATGTACAGTGGGGCAAAGTTGGATCCATATGTGTGAAAAATTGGAAAAATATGAAGAGATTGATCTCCACAATTTTCTTGGATCTCAAATGACTCTAAGGGGAGGAGAAAAAAAAAGCCACTTTTATTTGTGAAAGTGCAGCCAACAAAGTTCACTGCAACACGTGCATTCTTTTACTTGTTCTCTGAAGTTTTTTGCCCAGATCCTCTGCGATATTCAATTAGGAATCAATTTTTATCAACTTGCAATTATTTTGGGAAGCAAAAATTTTTATCTGCTGCTTGAAATGAATGAAGCAATTGTAAAAACTCTTCAAAACCTTCAAAAGTTGCAATTTAAGCTGCCTTCCTTGATCCTATCAAGGCTAAAGAGAAAAATTCTTAATACTGATCTGCATTATCTATCAAAAATGAAAAGTTAATAATCCCAGATTTTTTTTGCCCAAAGGATTTATTTAAATAATTTCCAGAAATCTAATAAAGCTTTAAATTCAGTTGAATAAATTGTTCAAGCCTTAGTAGCAGTCATTAGGGAGGTTGTTGTGAAAGCAGTTGAACATGATGATAATGTTGGGGAGTTGGATATGTTAGAGGCTCTCCACTCTTACCTCCACCTGGAAGCAAAACACCAAACCAAAATGATGTGATAAAATGCTGATCTTAGTCTTTGAATAATCAACATTGCTCATTCAAAGAACACACACACAAAAACTATTTCTCTGGAGGGAGAAAGCGAGAAAAAAAATCTTTTTATTTGAGTAACTTATGCAAATTAAATTTCTAGTGAACTTAAAAACTAAAAGCTGATTGGTTGTGGAATTTTTTTTTTTTTTTTTTACCTGGAATTCAAAAATGCTCTCCCCAACTTTCTTAAGAAGGAAAGTTTTTTTTTTTTTTTTTTTATTATTCACAAAATAAGAAATGTTGGTGTAGGACAAAGAGATTTCTTTTTGCCAAATTTTTTTTTTATAACTGAATTGCATGAAATTTTCTTGCCTTTTTTTTTTTTTATTATTTTCTTGTCTTTTAGATCTGAAAAACTTAAAAAGAAAAAAAAAAATTACATTTTTTTTATAAAAGTCTCTGTTGACCAGAAAAAAGTAAACATTTTGAACAAGATTTTTTTTTGTTCAAATACCAAACCAGTATTCAGTTTACTACTTTTTTTCTTTTTAAAGCAAAATTCATATTTGGCATCAAGCAAAAAATGTTTTTGAGTTGTGGGGTGGGTGGCTTTTTATTTTATGAATAAAAATATTTGTTATGCAAAGTTACTGTTCTCTTGATATTTACTGAATTTTTTAATACAGCACCAGGACTAAAAGGAGGTGGAAGAAAGTTGAGGAGGGCAGGGCAGGGCAGGTCTAGGTTAACCTACCAAAAGAACAGTAGTATTTTTATTTTTCTCTTTCCCCTAACCCAAATCATTTGCATCAGGGGCAAATGAATCACACAGTTGATCAGGAAGTGATTTATTGGTGATTGATACTTACAAATTTTTGCTTTGTACACCACAAAGGCAAACATAAGCGAATGGAGGTAGTTGTTAAATATCATATGAACATTATGAAATTTCCCCCCCAAAAAAAACAGTTCACCTCATTTCATTATGAATAGACTCTTGCACTGATACTGAGCAAGATTTTTATGTCTTTTACAATGTCAAAATCATTGGAAACTAGAAAATACCAAAATATTCCTTGTTTGCAAAGATATTTATATCATATCTGGGAATGTGACTCAGTTATTCCCATTTAGCTTCCAGGTTTTGTTTTGGTTTTTTAATACAATTTCTTTGCATATCTTCTTTAAATTTTTTTTTTTTTAAGGTAGAATATTTTGAAATACCTTTTTACTACACAAAATCCTATATTGCCCACCCACCAAAATTTCCAGTTACTCACCCAACAGTTGAAATTACCTACTAGTGAGTGACATCATCCAAGGTTAGGAAATTCTGCTTTACCCCAATTTCAAATTATCAACTGTGACTAACTGATAAGGTCTCCTGGCCATTCATAAATCTACGCCTGCTTGTCATGGTATTGAAATTTGATCATCCGTCAATCAAACAAAGATATAGAGGTAGCATAATGGTTATTAACACAGAAAACAAAATCAGAGAGCTGGGTTCAAATTTTGGCCTTGTTTTGTTATGTTCATTTTTTTATACTGAGGCTCTTGGGATACTATTTCTTCTACCCATCTCTAGCTATGGGTTAAACAGCAGAGGAGACTAGGTTCTCTAGCCTTGGGTAGTAGCCAGTCTAGGAAAAGGAATATAAAACTGTGGAGATTGATTTTTTTTTTTTTTTTTTCAGCTTATCAACCTGTTGTAGGTTATTTAAAAAATGGAAAATATTTTTTTTACACTGTAAGAAATTTCTTTTACTTTTTGAGATAATGATTTAGTGATACAAGTCCTAATTAATGCATAACGGGGGGTGGAGGAGGAAAGGGGGTAAATTCATACCTTAGATTGATTTGTTTTTCTATGGCTTTCAACATTTTGCAGCTTATTTAAAGCCAGAAAATATTTTTATATTTTAATTTTTTTTTTTTTTTTTTGAGATAATGATTTAGTGATACAAGTTTTACTAATTAACCCATAGGTTGGGTACAAGGGGTAGATTCATATCTTTCCCAATGGTATTTGCGCATAAGTGAATATAATGAACCCAACTGAAATTGGTACTCTGCTCTCCAATTAACAATTCCGAGCCATTTACACCACCAGCACATCCAAGAAGTTACCCATCTACGTACTGTCCAGACTTGATGTTAAGTTCAGTGTTCATACAGGAATCAGTGTTTCAATGTGATATGGCTGTAAACCCCTAAAACTCTGGAGAAGGCAAAAGGAAATCACTCCATTATCATTCCTAAGGAATAAAGAAAAGGATTCTGTGGAGAACCATGACCATCTAAATCTAAAACCATTATATATACTGTATATACTTTTGACTCATTCAGCAATGTTTATGGTTTTAAAAAGTGATTAATAAAAACCAAACCTTTGAAAATGGATTTATACATTTTCTTTATTCCTGAGAATTGACAGCAAATATATTAGACATTATTTATTTACAAGAATAATTTTATATTTACAAGATTATAAAAAAAATGTGAACCAACTATAATGAAATATTGCATACCATTTCAGGAAGAAATAAATATGAAAAGAATTTTTTTTTTTTTTTTTTTTTTTAACTCATAAAATTATAAAAATGTCTGAACATAAAAATTTAAGTAAGTGCATAACAATGAGTAATTAATTATAAATTTTGAAAAAATGCATTTTCTGGGCTTTTCTTTCAAATAGATTAAAAGCACCTCTTTTTTTCTGAACTAAATTCTTTTAATTTATATTTGTCATATGTTTATTCAGATTTTCTTGTTCTATAGTTATAAAATGGTAAATAAAAAATATTGCATTGTAGTTTAAATATTTTTATAAATTTGTAATTCATAAATTTATGAATAAAAATATTTCTTTTCAGATTTATTTCTTTATAAAAGGTCAAGATTAATATAAATAAAATTTGTTATTTAGCTGATTGATATTATATTCAGCACCTCTAATTTGGAGTTTTGTAAGCAGAGCTCTTTGTAATTGTTCTGTCCACTCATCAGGAGATACCAGCAATTGTCTGTGAATTTTCTCATTTTTATATTAAAAATGAATTTATACACTAAAAAGTAAATAATATTGTATTGTAATGGGTTCACATATTTTTATAATCTTGTAAATAAACATTGCTGAGGGAGTCAAAAGTGTATACAATAATAGCAGTGTTAAGGGAATAACTGGCCTTTTGATACGGTTTTTCTTTGGACACAAGTTAAATATAACTCAAAGATTATGCTGCTAATTTCCTCTGACGTAGTAAAATAACAGATTGATGCAGGAAAAACAAACTTGTAACATTCATTATTTACACTATTTATATTTGGACTATTATCCTCATCTTTGTTGCTGTTATCACAGGGTTTCAGCTCTTGTGCCCTCTGTCCTTCCTCAGATGTATATTTTGGGTAACCAACAGGGAATTCTGTACTGAACCCTTTAATCATTGTGGGTAGATTGTTCTCATTCTACTTCTCATGTCTTGAGAGATTGTCTACTTACTTTTGCTTGCCCATTTCCACTGAGTGCAAGTACACACTACCTGACCCATGGATTGAACTCACAATTACTGTCACCAAATTCACAAAGGCCATTAATCCACTAGGCCATTGTCCGGTAGGACAATTTGCTTTAATGAACTTGGAGCCCTAAACCTAAAAAAATCGTAACATTCAATATGTCCAAAATCAAGCAAGTTATGTTTCATCAATGAGCAGACTCCAAATTTTATCCTGTCATGATGAATACATGTACTCTCAATGAGGCTCCTTACTTCAAACATCTATTGGGACTTAAGTTTAACCCTGACCTCAACTGGAACTTAGATATATTGTAGCATACCTATGGATGATAATGAGTATGTCTCCATTCACATAATGGTCTGTAGTTGGAGATTCATTGTGGAATTCACTTGATTACTATTTCTACGTGCTGCTGGTGAATCTTATATGTGTTGTTCTTGTCCTAAGTGTTATCGTTCATTACCAACCTTTTTGTGATTATTCTATTTAGTAACCTTACTAGGTTTTATATATATATATATATATATATATATATAGATAAGATGCTTGAAAAATAGTTCCTTGAATTACTCCAGAAAGTATCTAACACCTTCTGTATGCTTTATCTTTACAAGAATCTGATCAAACAA